AGTTTTTACAACATAATTTTCATGAATGGTACAATAACAAGTCCAATAAATATATATATATATATTAGTGCATTATATAAGCACAGTGAGGAATTATAACACATAATTGATTAACCTCAGATTTGTCAAAAGTTTTGCTGTTCATCAAGTGTTTGTCACTCTTTGCCAATTAAGAAGATTTTAAAACTAAAATCTTCACTCAGGAGGAAAACTCTGTCTTTAAACTTGAAATAAATAAATAATGTGACATTTATTTAGATAATTATTAACATTGACGAAAAGTTGTGCAATCTTAGAGGCCACTTGAAAGTTTACTTGTGTACTTCTCCATCCCATCTTGTGTTCAAATATTTTATATCAACTCACTCAACATATTTATTTTCCTTTGCAGCATTTCTACAACATGCCACAGCTTTCCAGACTGATATAAATGAAAAGGGTGCAAAGAAACCTGGTTACTTAGATACCACAACAACAGTTCTCCTGATTAAGCATTAATTATCCCCTACACCCACAGGGACATCCTCTGTGTGGGCCACACTCTGAGCACACGTGTGTTTTCTGCACCCTGCTGCTGGTGGAAAGGTGACAAAGTTGTGTAATCAATTCTAGGTCTGTAGCCTTACAGGAAAATTCTCACCGGAGTCAGCGACACCTGACACCTTATGACACCTGCTTCCAGCAACAGCACAACAACACTACCACCACCACAACAAGGGAGATTGAGAAATCAAAAAGGAGAGGTGATCAGGCCGCTCGTGATCCGAGGGGGAAACTTGACCTTAGACTTGGTTACGCTGCTTGTTGATTCCTCATGGTTTCAGTTTATAGATTGGTTTACAAACCAAGGGTTAATGGGTGGTCACCACCTGACTTCTAATTCATTTCACAGGATAAACAACAACAGCAGTGGTGTTTTCCTTTCAGGCCAAACTGTGACTAGTGCAATATTGCACAAGTGTGTGTCTGCTTGTGTCGTGTGTGTTTGTGGTGTTCTGGATCTCCATGGTCAAGCAGCCAAGAGACATGATTCAGACCCAAGATGAAGTGGGACGATCTCTCAGTGATCTTCACATGATGAAGAGTGTTTATTTTCAGGACTGTTGACTCACAGGTGCTTTATTATATATTGAAGCATGTGGATTAGATGGTGAGTACAGTCACTTAGTGGAAACATCTAAGGAGACAGAGATATACAGTTGATGGTTCAATACCCTTTGGATGTTTTCATTGCTGTTTAATCCAAAAGCTGCCTCTTCTCTTCCATCTCCTTTTAGGTCATTTTTGTGACAAGGAATTAAATGTCTATCCATGAATCCTCATGGGCTATAATACTGTCCTAGAAGCACATGGACTCCCAGCAACCTACGTGTTTTTGGACCCATTTTACTGTTCTCTCATTTGTCTGCTGAAATTCACACCGTCCTGAGCAGTAAAGGCCGGCATGTGTCTTAACATGCAGACAGACACCAGATACTCCTCTGTTGCTCTTACGTCTCCATGTATACAAATACACAGACAGTCACCTTGGGGATCAGATCACATATATATATATAATACGGTGCATCCAAGGCTGTTCAGTTTCTCCTTTACCTACTGATTTGAAACAAACATACAGAGACAAATATACACTGGGAGCCAACGCCAATGGACAAGGGGTGTGGACTCACAGACACAAACTCTGAACCCTCTTGCTCTGAGGCAAAAGAGGTGAAAGTACCATCATCTCACCCAAGATTACAAGAGTGACGTAAAAAGGTTTAACAGAGTCTTGAGTGACGTAAAAAGGTTTAACAGAGTCTTAGCGGCACAATGTAAACTGGGAAGAAAATTACACCAGTGACCTTCTTTTTCAAATTCATGATTTGACTTTCCATCTTATTGAGGATTTACAGATTATAAAAGACATGGGAAAAAAAACCTTCAATCAAAGCACCACATTAAATTCCTGTTCTTGCCTCCGATTTCACTCCTGTAGGCCCTCTAGTGACGTTGTTGCTTTAGCTGATGTCAGTGCCTTTAATCAGCAGAACTGCAGTGGGCCCTGCTTACGCACACAGACACACTGCATCACTAAACACTTATTCTAGTCCGAATGAATGTTGCTACCTGTGTCAGAGATGAGCTCTGCTGCAGCTGCTGACGTATGAGGACAGGCAGCCTCACGGACATCTGGGGCGTGGGCGAAAGCGAACAAACTTGTCTCAAGATTTTAGGAATGTAAATTCAGGAATTCAACTATTTTGGTTGTCTTAACATCCTTCCACAGTAGAATGTTGTTTTCAACTAGCCACAGCTTTTGAGTGGTCAAATCACATCTGCAGGATTTGAACCGTGCCCACATGTTATGTTACACTCTAAAATAGATCTCATAAGACACTCAAGGGTCAAATTATATTAAGACTTCAAAACAAGATATTCAAAATAATATAAGTTTACAAAATACTGTTAATCAAAATGACTTCTAATTCTTTCTGCCCCTCCCTCTCTCTCTCTCTCACACACAGACACACACAACAGCTCTGCTATGTGAATATAGATTTCACTCCCAGCTGCACAAATACAGACCGTCCTCTCAGTGGGATGGCACAGAGCTCCAGTGACCAGACAGACACAGAGGCACTCTGACTTTGGGAGTGGCGACCAATCAGACCCTGGATCAGCACTGCAGCTCCTCTGACCCACATACCCAGAGCTGACTCACAGGGAGCCCTCTGCCCTCTAATGGACACTCAGCAAACCACACCTAACATCAGACAAGAGGATTTTGCGATTTCTTCTGATATCAAAATACTGTAGATATTTATCGCAAAGAGGAAGTAAAAGTGTCAATGCAGCTGAGGTTTACTACTATCATAAGCATCTAAAATAAATCACTCACTGCTGGTGGACTAAATCCTGTTGCAATTGTGGTTGAGTGAAACAGGATAAACAAGATTCCCAACACCAGTTTACTGCCTGAGGCAACAAGGGACCACACATACAACACCACAACAGCTCTTTGTCATGTCACTATAATAAAAAGTCCTGTGGGCTCCGACACATGTAATGTGTGACGACTACTCATAATCCAAGTGTTCTTCAAGTTTATTTCCTGTTTCCAGGTCAGCGGCAGGAACAGAAGAGGTCCTGTGTTTTAATTTGGGGCTGGGGTCACAAAGGGGTAATATAATAACTACTTGAGAGGGAGTAGACATTCAGCATAATATTGTTTAATATCTTACCTCCTTGGCTGAGAGCGGCGGTCATCCTCCCCACTCCCCGACTCCTGGAGGAACAATATGAGAAAATTACATTTAATAATTCAAAGGTTCAAAAAAAATACTGTGCAGTCTAAAGCTGAGCTGGAGACAAAGTCAAAGATAACGCAAGATTAAAATGATTGTTTCAAAGATGAGTAAATGAATCATCTAAGTGTTAAAAAGGAAACTTATATGAACTATTTTGAAAATCAATTCACACAAGTAGAAGTTCCAGCTTGTCAAAAGTCATAATTTGCTGATACTCTTTCTTAGATTTGATACTATGGGCCTACTGACCTTTTTTGGATGAAATAAGACTTAATAATGTCATTGTCATGAAAAATAATAATATTTAGTTGAATTTCTCATTTCTATAAATGTAAAATCTCAACTACAGTCTATGATTCCAACCTTTCGTCAGTTATTTGTGAGAGATTTCAGTGAACATTTGTCTTTATGATTAATTCAGATACCCCAATTATGTAGCACATTTACATGTTAAAACATAACTCAAATGCAATGTGAAATCACTTAGGAAGAATATATGTAATATTTATAAAGGCAGACATGTGAATAATTACTGACATTACAAGAATGATCTTGGTCTTTTAGTGTTAAGTTAAGCTTATAAAGCTCTAAAAAGGATTCTTTAACTTGTTGGCAGAGACCGTCTTCAAATTCAAACCAAACAAGTAAAGGAAATAAATCCCACTGTCCTTACACACACACAGACACACACACACACACAAACACGGCAGAGAGACAGCAGGGAGAGCGGAGTTCAGCTTCAACTCAATTTACACGCTCTCCAGGAAAATGACCTCAGTCTGTTTTTAAGGTGTGGTCGGTGGGACAATAACACAATCACACACAAAAACAAGCGAGTCTGTGAGGAAGAGACACAACGACACACAAAAAGACAAAACCTGCACATCCTGGAATATTACACTTTGCTAAATGAGAAGGCTGAGGATTAGTGATAGATAGACAACTGGCATTCATGTTGTACTGCCCGGTACTGAGATGTTTACACTGTACGTAGGATTAACAACAATGAAGAACCATTAACAGCTTCATGAAGAGACGAAGTGGATTACAGGTTAATGAGAGGCCACAGGACTGAAGCAATATGGAAAATAATGGCACAAAAATGCTTGATATGGTCATGCAAACTGTGTGCACTGCATCTATGTATTTCCGTGAGTAAAGTTTAAAGCAGCAAAGAACCAGGTGATTTTTGTATCATTGAAGATAAAACAGTGTAGGGTCGGGATACCAGTATTTACTCTTGTGACATTGTTGCTGATCCAGTGTAATAATGTCATGTTTACCAATGTAATATATGGGACGTCCTCGCCCTCTCACAACCAGGATATCCAAAGCAGGTGTCCATTGTGGCTCAGTAGTAAAAAACATATGCAAAACCGTTCCTGTGGATTGTTGGACACCTCATGTAAAGTATGTGACGTTGGAGCCATTGTGAACTGCCTATTATTACAACCTCTTGGCACAGATTACTGAGGAATTGTATATAGAACGGCCTTATGAAGACAATATCTCCTAAATGTTTTAGTTATATTGAGTTATATTGCACTTCGTGAAGTTTAACAAGTAACAAATAAACACAAAGCACTTGACTTGAATGTACACATGTGAAGACACTGAGAATGACTTGATATCTCTAGAAATAAAAAGTTTTTATAATTAATATGTTTATTTTATTCTAAATTTTAAGCAGTAGTTCCATGGTGATCTCCCTAAATTGAGACATATCATCCATCCAGCTTTTGTTTGGACGGGGAAACACACAGATGTTTTACATATATGAAAATGGAAGAGGATTTTCCAAAGCTTATGGAAATGTAACACCTTATCATTCAGGCTCGGCAATCCTCTTTATTAGTTTCACCAAAGTTAATAAAAGATTCATTTTTATAAAAGAATAAAAGCACCCAAGTGTGTACAAGACAGTTTGTGTGTTTCCAATACAAACACCCTTATTGTGAAGCAGACACATACCAGTGAGTCTGGAAAGGGTTCAACACGAGGTTCAAGTAAATATGGTGGAGGGAAAAAAACAACAGCCTGCAGCCATTTCATACCAAGTTTTACACAAGACTCCATACACACATCACTTGACAGCAAGACACAGGAAACCAGGCATGTCTGTGTAATGTTTTATCATTGTTTGTGTGCAGGTTGCAGCTTGAAAGCATATTTCCACAAGAAAATGCTTCACATCCTTCACCACCCCTGCCTGCCTCACCTTACACATGTGCACATCTTCTGTTGTAATGAAAGACTCCCCATCACTTTTCTAACACACAATTAAAACAGTAGCTGTACTTTGAAATACTCTTACAACTGATGACTCAATGTTACAATCTACAAATTCTTGTTTCATCCATTCTTGTATGTTTTTGAGTAATTCTGGATGACAAGGAAGTTATTACACTCACAGAACCTGTTTTACCGGCCTCAATACCCAGAGTTTGTGACTCAAACTCAACTTGTGTCACAAAAAACTTGACTGCAATTGATTTGGGACATATTTTCAAATCTTCCATCTTCAAACATTTGAATCCTCTACAGTTCCATTATTATGTTTAACTTTGGCCGTCCCAAAATTTGACTCAGTTGTTGGATTGAGCAATTTGCCCATGTTTATGTAAGCCATCAATGATTGTGTTATAACATTTTACTTGGTATAATATATATCATGTGGATGATTGAGGCCAAAATGGGCAATGTTGCCTATTAATTAGCAACACTGCTTTATGACAGCACTTAACTTTTATGGTTGCTTTACACCTTGATTTGCCAGATATACAAGTGACTCCATTAGCAAATATTAGACAATGAAGTCTGGTTATTTCCGATCGCTGAAGAACAGAAAGGAGTCAGCATCTGTGGATCAGTCTTCATGAACATACAGTATGTTCACTTGATAACCAGGTCTTCTTATTCCTCATTTTGTGTAACATAAATAAGCCGAAACTTTTCTGAAGTTGTGTGACCCAGACAGAGAACGAAATTTGAATGAGAAACAGACTGTGAACTTGTGCTCTAGATCACTTCCTCACTCTCTTGCAGACTGTCTAGGGGAGTTCCATGTGTCAGTAGAAACAGAGGAACGGAGGGAATAGCAACAGGACAACCACCCGACTGCTTTACTTTGCAAAGGCACACCCATGCTGTACTCTCACCACAGACACACAGCAAAAACAATGAGAAACTGAAGAAATTTATGATAAATGTTTCTGTTTTGCATTTGGTTCAATCATCTGCAGAATAACTCCAGGTTTATGTAGCTAACACTATAAGGGACAAAACAAGGGGAAACACACACAAACACAAATAATGGAAACCTTAAACTTAGTCAGACACCCGCACAAGATGAGGAAATTGAGGTATAGAGAGGTCAGGTCGCACAACGCAAGTGATTTGGTTCAGATGCCTAAAGCAACAGCAGTAAATATCCATTGCGAGCAATGCAGGAGGACCAGTGCAGGCAAAAACGGGAAACGCAACAAATCTTCTGCACCATTTGAAAACATTCCATCCCACAAAGTACACCAGAAATACTGCCATTCCAAGTACGAGCAACTAATGCTGGTTGTAATATAATAGTTTAACATTAGTTCAAACTCCAGCAGCAGTCACTTCCGTCGTGGTTTTTCAGTCATTACCCATGAAAAACGCAAAATGAAAAACAACCATACAAGTGCACAACAGCCAAGAACATGTTGTGAGATGTTTGAGTATCAAGTTGATGGAAACATTAATTATTGTTTTGAAGCAAAGCAAACTTTTACTGAAGTAGAATTCAACCCTAAACTGAATAAACTCCAATTAAGGCAGCCCTTAGAGTTTTCTTACAAACAAAACACAATTGTTAATGTTGTTAAATGCTAATATCATTATTTATCTTTAGTAAACGTGCATATATTTTGGGCCCTACCTCCCTGTACTAATCAACCATAACCATACTTACACCCAAAAATGTAATGTAAACAATTGCCTATGGTATGGGGACATGACTTCAATATAATAAAGTATAATTATAGGGGGGAAGACATCAGCAAAACATGGACACAAGGATGTAAAGACAGAAAAGACACGTCCACAACCTTGTTTACAAACCAACACAGCTCCCGACAGCAGTGCAGGAGCTGATAGCTGCACTGATGCGCGTCACAAGGCGGCTCAGTGGGAGCGGAAGTGAATGAAATGTGTTACAACTACAACTAAAAGGTGGAAGAAAGGCAGCAGCACAGTTTACTGTCAAACACACCGACAGGACGCGGGGGGTCCAGCTCAGTATCGATCGAGTCTGTAGCTTCTGATGTCTGTGGAGAACTGAACCCGTGAAGTGACGGAAACGTGCAAACAGGAAGCATGTCAACAATGAAAACACCAGAGGAAGCGGCGGTTTGATGCTAAGCTAACGCTGCTAACGACGTTCCTCCCCACCCCCGGTACAAAGAGCAGAGAGTACAGGGGGGAAGACATATTTCGGGGACATTTGAAGCAGGTTAACTTCGCAGAGACTCTGGTGGCTGAACAACGATGAGCCGCGAGGTTTCACGCATGCGCAGGAAGCACAAAGGCAAGGCACTTTATGACAGTCGAGCAGCCGATAGCAAAAAAAAAAAAAAAACACACACAGCGGAACCCGGAGCCTCGTGGAGCAGAGGGACACGTCTGGACTCTCTTTCGCTGGCGGGGGACAGAGGAGGAGGCTTCGGGGCTGGGGACGACTTACCGAGACGCAGGGGCTGGAGCTGGTGCTGGGGGTCGGTGAACGCTGCACGGTAACCAGCGCCATTCAGCGACGGGGAAGCGGACACCTGAGAGAAAGCGACACCGGCGAGACGAGCATAATGGTCGAGAGGAGGAGGAAACACCCGCCGGACCCGCTGCTCGTCTGTCCCCTCGCTGCCTCTTCCTCTCTCCGGTCGGTGGCTGTTTGACGACTCCCCCCGGCTGGGTCCTCTGTCCGCGCCTTCCGCGCATGCGCAAGAACCCGGAGCTCGTCAACCCCGATTAACCCTGAGAGTGCTGGACACAAACAATCACAACGAGAAATGATGAAGTGCATTGACAGATGAATAAATGATGACATCTGTGGTCAAACAAGCAGCCACTCACGGCCAGAGAACTTAAAGAGGCGCTGTTGGGTTTTACTTAAAGGTTCAGTGTGTAAGATTTAGGGGAAAGAGATCTATCGGCATAAATTAATTAAAAAATAATGTTTATGATGTTTTCACCGGTGTGTGTTTTATCTAAATTGTACGACGTGTTGTTTTCTTTAGCCCAGAATCAGCCCTTTATATTTAAAGGTTCAGTGTGTAGAATGTAGTGACATCTAGTGGTGAAGTGGTATGTTGCAGCTGAACACCCCCCACCTCACCCTCCACTTCCAAACATGAGAGAGAACCGGTCGTAGCTTCAGCTGTCATAAAAACTCAAAAGGTGATTAAGTATTTAAAATAAAGGGCCACATAGACACAAACATTGACCACACAGAGACTAAAGAATGACCATTATGAGACGCAAAATAATAATAAAGACACTAAATATGAGTATGTATATAAATATGTGTAAAATTGGTTCCATGAAGCTTTAAGTGATTATTTTATTGTAATTGATTTTGCTTTTCAATTAATTTTAACATTATCATACATATACTATAAGGAACATAGACCTGAAGAGGTGAGTCTAAATGGAGAACACAAAACTGTTTGGGTGGACCTCATCAAGCACTTTTTCCAGTCGTGATAAAGAGTGAAACTGGGTAAAACCAGTTTCTCATTAGCTGTATTTATCTCTCATGTAAAGAAATTATTCAAACTTGAGTTCAAGCAGCATGGTTTACTATTAATTGTCTGTATCAACCATGGAAGATGTGTCAATTCTCAGCATAACCTAAAAGTAAAAGATAACTAATGTGTGGGTTGCATGTGCAGGCTAACTGTACAATACTAGTAGTTACCTGCAGTACTACAACTCAAAGGCTGCTGAGGTTTAGTCTGCCTGTGTGAACCTGTGATGCTCACCTCTCTACACTGCCTGAGGGCACAGGTCAGGGAGAGCAGCAAACCTCAAAAACCACACAAGCTCAAATATGAAGAGCATCATCAGCAAGTGTGACAACGCCCAGATGTGCAGGTATGCACAGCTGCACAGCACCAGTTTTAACACTATCATTACACCTGGCACAACCTGGTTTCTATCTCCATGGGAAATGCGAAAAATAACCGATGTGGGCAGATTCAGAGGTTTCGAGCGAATAAATACATCATATTTCAAAATGTTCATTTTATTGGCTAGTAGTGGTGTTTTACTACTTTATAACTGCACAGAGACAGGAGGGATGCAGCTCTCTGTTATTGAAGGTTTGTGCAGTTCCTCCTCATTCTTCTTTACAAATACATTGGTTCAATAACGTCATCCATCCGCCTGTCAATCGACCTATCTTCCTTTCCATTTATCCACACATCCCACACTCCATCCAATCATCCATCCATCAGGCAGCTTGGGTCACTGTGTTAGTAGCAGAGGGATTAACAGAGAGGCCAGAGAGGAGATGAGATGGAGATTACGACAGAGATAATGGTGTTTGGATTTAGAGTCTTTCAGAGGAGCCACTGGAAATTCAGAGATGCAGCTTTAATCACAGGTGAGTCATGTGCTCCCTGATCTTATTTAAGAGAGTAACTTACCGCAGGTTTAGAGCAGAGCAGCCGACAACATTGAAAATAACAAGTGACAGGAGCCATTTCACTTTATCTCTTTTAAATACATAAATCATTTAATTTCCTTTTACTGGTCACTGTAAATATTCTCAATAATAAATCTATTATAGCCTCTGTATCCTAAGTATAGTATGAATGCTGATGTGTGGTCACAGGAACAGAAATTGATCTTTTCTGTGCATTGTGGTGATTCAAAGCAGAAGACCTGAAGGTTGATGCTTTCAGTGGGTTATGAGAGGAAGAGAATGCNCATTAGAGAAAGAGAAATCAGTTCAGCTTCGGGCTTTCATTGTTTGTATGAAAAGTTAATTGTGTGCCAGTGATTAATCAATGAATCCACTCCTTGTTTCAGCTCTAATGGTGATGACGTTGACTATTCGACTTCTTTAAGCTCCTGAAGTAACTTTACTCAGAAAATGACTCATCGTACAGATGAAATCTCGGATATCAGAGGTCAAGTTTCTGCATCATAACGGAAACTTCGTCTCCCTCAGGCTTTCATCAGAAACATGATTCATCTTCTACGCATGCGCAGAAACCTGAGTTTGGAGAAGATGGTGACCAATTTAACAGAAATAATCCGAGGCACACCGGAACGAGATGGATGTCACCTCCAAAATAAATCTACTCTTTTTTAATAAGGTTATCCTCGAATAAAGCATTCTTTGTTTTTATGATAGTTTTCTCCACTAAAAAGCAAAAGAAGCAAAGACATTGTTATCTAGCTTGACATAAATAAATCATAACACTGGCTGCACACAAAGCTGATACATCAGTAAAATGCAGCTCACACACATAGATGCATTCCTATTAAAAATGAATTATGCCAGATAGAATCAGATGACAGTCATGTGCCATGGGAGCTTTTATCACAGAATTAATTATTTTCGGCTTATACTTAAAGCAATGGTAATATTACTACTACTACTACTACTAATAATAATACTGCTACTACTACTAATAATAATGAAAAAAAAAAATAAAGCTGCAACCAATATAAACATGGTGGGTGTGTGTGGCAGCTGTATTTCTTTTATATTTATCATTTAATTAATTAAATTACTGCTTGAATCCACCTCAACTGGACTCGTCACGTTTGACCTGATTTAAAATCTCGTGTCGAATCTGCCGCTGCTGCTTGACAGTCAGCAGAGCAAGATGGCGGCGCCTGCGAAGCAGTGAGTTGCTAACGTGCTAACTCGATTTTCGATCGTTCGTGGCAAGAAATCTACCGACGTTTCGCTTGGTTGATAATTTAAAATTAGCTTATGTTGAATACACATATTTGTTGTAGCGGCACGTGTAGTGTTTAAGCTCGGGGTTATTTATAAAACCGCTGTTTCGCCCATTGCTGCTGCTGTAGCTAGCTAACGATTTGCTAGATTCCCCGGTTATATCGTATAATACTTTTTTTTTTTAAATCACCCGTTAATTTATATTTATCAACTGCCTCATTCCATCACTTGCACGTTTCCTTGATAATGACAGATTGCATGGAGGAGATAATACATTTTAATGCAGTTAACGGTGCCACTTCAAAATGCTGTGAATTTGGTAGATTTCTGTTAAGTTGTAGATGTTTTTAATTCACTTTTTCAAACAGGAAGTGTTGTACTATGCAAAGTGCACTTAATCTAATGTCTGCAGAAAGTCACCTGTCTCATACACACCTATAAAACCATGATATGGGACATCTTCAACTGGTAAATAGAAATATACACAGTCAGATATCTTTCTAACAGGACCATCATGTTTAATACTGATTACCTGGACCTTAGTTTGCTCTCACAACATGCTAGAGGAATCTTCTTTTGAGATTCTGGTCCATCATAGCAGAAGATTTGTCAGCTGCACCTCCATGCTGCTCATCTCCTGTTTTACCTCAAATGTTCCCATTCAATTTAAATCTCACTATCATGTTCATTGAACCAGTTTAACACGTCTGCACTGTGACATAGAGTATTAACATGTTTCAAGTAGCCATACGAAGATGGTAAATAGTGGCCATGAAAGGATGCACATGGTCTGTGGCAGGCTGTGGCACAAACACACACAGTTCTCACCGACACTACCAGCCTGGACTGTTAGCACAAAGCAGGTTGGATTCATCCATCATCCATTTTGCACAGCAGGGATTAAGGAGCCTTATTTCTTGACTGTCCACAGGTATGGGCTGGTCTTGCCACAGAAGAAAGGAGGGTTAAAGGCAGCATCCCTGCAGAAACCCTCAGTGTTTGGAGATGACTCCGATGAAGAGGTGGGTAAACTTCTGAATTTGTAATAAGCAGGACAATACAATTGCTCATTTGCCAATTCAGCTATTTTTGCTAAGACGGAGATGTAGATTTTTGTAAAAGGAATGAAAGAACGATATCAAGGTAACATTTTTGTAGACGTCCATCCAAATATACTGAATTATGTTTTTGTTATGTTTTGTTCCTCAGACAACAGTTGGGGAGAGTCTGAAGAGAGAAGCCATCAAAAAGAAGATGATGAAGCAGGTGAGAGGAAGAATACATCAAAAAACTAAATGATGAATTGGTGATCGCAGATTTCTTTTATAACAAGGACAGTTCCTCCATTGTAACTTCATTTTCTTGTCTTGTCTGTCTCCCTCTCTAAAGACACGTTTGGAGATGCAGAAGGCCCTGGAAGAGGACAGCACTGTATATGACTACGATGCTGTGTACGATGACATTCAAAAACAGAGAAGTGAAAGCAACAAAAAAGTTCTTGGAGGCGCAGACAAAAGGGTAATGTCATTTACATTGAACGTTTGTATAGCTGCATTTGTCAAAACCAATGTAGTATAGTTATGAAAACTGTTTATCAAGACTTTCCTTGCACTCTGTCCTGTACTTTAAAATGTGAGCTGAAACGTCCTCATGAATATGAACCGTTTTCTTTTCCAACCAGCCAAAGTATATCCACCAGTTAATGAAGGCAGTCGAGGACCGAAAGAAAGAACAAGAACGGAGGGAAGAGAGGAAGATCCAGAAGGAAAGAGAGGCAGAGGGAGAGAAGTTTGCAGATAAAGACGCTTACGTCACCTCCGCCTACAAGCAAAAGCTTCTGGAGCAGAAGGAGGAACAGGAGAGAGAGGAGAGACAGGCACAGATAGAAGGTTGGACTGATACTTTAACATTGCATTATTTTCCGATTGCTTGTAGATAATATTTTGTTGTGATATATACTGTGACATTTTAAACAGTATATTTTCAAGTGTGTCCTCCCTCACACACAAAGTATGACTTGCAGAGAGTGGAAATAGGTCACCTAATGTAAATCTTTGTAAATTATTAATTTGAATCATGTTTGGTCTCTTAGCTGCTTTGGATGTGAAGAAACAAAAAGACCTGAGTGGCTTCTACCGACACCTGCTCAATCAGACAGTAGGAGAGGAGGAGATACCAGATCGCTCAGCAAACAAGTCAGTCATAGTATTACTCATCCAAAACCACAGCAAGGACACATTTTTAAATTCTGAGACTTTAATTGTGTCTCTCTGTTGCTGCTCCCACAGCCCTCAAACTTCGAAGGTTCCAAAAGACACAGAGAGGACATCACCTCTTCCTTCACCTACATCCCATGACAATATCGCAAGTTCATGCAGCGACAGTGAGGAGCCACATGAGCAGAAGTCTGGGTTCAGCAAGCTGGGTGCAGGCTCTACACACCCCAAACGCCAGTACAGACAGAGGTCGCCATCGTCAGGAAGTGGAGAAGATAAGGAGAAGGAAAGAGAGAGGGAGAGAGAGAGACATAAGAAGAGTCACAGAGATCAAGATAGAGGGAGGGACAGAGATAGAGACAGAGACAGGAACCGGGCAAAGGAAAGGGATGACAGACATGGAGGAAGAAGAGACGACAGGGATAGAAGAAAGGACAGAGACAGAGGAAGAGAGGATGACCGAAGTAGAGGCAGGGGGGATATAGAGAGGGAAGACAGGCATGGGAAAAGGGCAAAGAGCCCGAAAGAAAGAGAGAGGGATAAGAATGGGGACAGAGAGAAGAGGAGGAATCCAGCTGAGGATGAGCGGAAGGACAAAGATCGGGAAGAAGAGAAGGAGAGAAGGAAGGAGCAAGAGAAGGAGAAGACGGTGAAGAGGGAAGAAAAAGAACCAGAAAAGAAGGAAGAAGATGGAGGAGAAGAGGGAAAGGAGAAAGAGGAAATGGAGGAGAAGGTGAACAAGTTTGCAAAGCGCAGCACAGATCAGACTGTGAGTTCAGCCAGAGAGCGGTACATGGCCAGGCAGATGGGACGCTCGGCCTGTAAGAGCTATATCGAGAAGGAGGAGGACTGAGAGCTGTCGGGCACACCACACACACACATCCCTGAGCTGCACTCAAACTATCAATCAAGAGGATACAACTCGTGTTACACTTTTTTTTTTCAATAAATCCCCTTAAAATCAGGTTTCTTTCTTCTTTCTCAAAAGGTTTCCAAACTCCGAACCTGTTCCCCAAGCTAAATGCCTCCTACTGAAATACATAGTTACCTGTGCCAAGGAGGTCATGTTATGTGTTAGTTTGTTCATTGTGTTTATATGTAAGCAAGATTACACAAAAACATTTTAACAGATTTCACCAAAACTTGGTTGAAGGATGTGGTATGGGTCAGGGAAGAATCCATTAAATTCTGGTGTGCATCTGGATCGGGGGGCAGATCCAGCGGTTTTTCACCATTTTCTTAGGGAATAATTAATGGAGCATTTAGGGAACAGATATGGATGAGTGTGTGATTGGGCAGCTTGATAGAATTTAAGGGGGCTGTTGGGCCCCGACGGAGGAATGCACTCTACTCAATTAACAGCTGGTGACTGTAGTTTTTAGCAAACACTCTCTAAAAAGGGATTAAACATTACATTAGTTTGAGACTACTTCATCTGTGCATATACAGCAGCAGAACAGTGAATGTGAAACTAACGCCAGAATAACCCCAGTGTCCATAGGTGTGAAGTGATGACACTCATTGTTGCTTATTGATGTTTTTAATAGTCATGGACAACAACAGAGGTAAAGCACCAAAGAAAAAGCATCAGGCCTTGTATTCACAAACAAAATGTTTCTAAAAAAACTGAATCTTGCCAAACTTGAGCTAATCAAGAACAGGAAAAATCATTTTTTTGGGTTTGGGGACTTGATGGTGGAATATTATAGAGGTCGTAAATGTGAAGTTTTGACTTGTAAATATGAGTTCTGACAGAGACTCTTGTATCAGTAGCACAATTGTGTCATTATGTAAACCAGTGCTTGTGTTTATTCTCCTTTGTGCTTTGAGGTGCTGTATCTTCCTCTTGTAATTTAATTCATGGTGAGTCATAATAAAATCATTTCTGGTTCACAGTTTCTCCTGCTGCTTCTTGTAAATTGGAAGGTTACCGTTTATTCCACAGGGATTATTTGATCACAGAATCTAAAAATAGAAATGTTGGATTGCAGGAATCTTCTCTTGTGTGTTTCCTCTGTTTCTGTGATGACCTGTGGTCTAGTTATAAAGGGACACGTTGGACCACTGAAACAAAAGAAAAAGATTGTTTGTATAAATTGGTATTGTTTTTAATGACAGATTTCTGGAGATGATATGTAAATGGAACGTGTGTTAATGTTTTGCATGGTGGATATTTCAGAAAGGTGGATATAGACTCACCTCTTCCCATGTCAGGTGGATCAAGCCGTCCTGTGATTTTTTCTGATAAACATCTGTAAAGAAAACAAATATTCTTTCATCCAATAAACAAAAGAAAGAGAAACGCTCAAGAAAGTATAACAGTGTGCTGTACTGTTCAAATCAATCATAAATGTGTGTTTGAGTTTGCTCTGAAGCTATTTACTTGAGAACAGATTCATTGAGGACATGGTGCTTTCACACCACTGTCATCTTCCCTCTGAGTAAAAGCCTGATTTCTCAGGATGGTGTGGTTTGAAAAGTGATGGAAGCTTCGTCACTCACATGATGTATTTTCCAGACGCATCATGAGAACGATGAAGTTCTTCAAGGAGGTGGATGAGGGTTCTGTGTAGCGGAACATCACCCGCCTCACCGTGAAATCACTCACATTCATCCCTGGAACGGACAGTAGGAGAACATGAGGCATGTTTCCCCTCTTCGTTTCGCACAGTTTTAAATGCATTGATAAACAGCATCACCTGCAGACTCAATTGCCTTCTGGAGCTCGATGTCAGACAGGGATCCAGTCTGATTCAAATCAGAGCGATGGAAGAGTTGCTGCAAAATAATAACTGCATCAAACATCTGCACAAAGCCATGTCGCAACTTCAAAAAAGTACCTTGGGTTAATAAAACTCTGCATTACCTTGTATTCATGAATCTTCTTCCAGAGGACGGAGAATTCAGTGAAGGTCATCGTCAACCTTTGGTCGATCTTGGTGGGACGTTAAGGTGTTAATGTCTCATCAACAACAGATGAAAAACTATTTCCCTCCCAACCACAATGATGTGATTTCATTTCATGTCATGTTGATGATAATTTAGATTGATTTCTATTATATGAAGTGCAGCAAAAATGTATTTTCTGTGTAAGGATACATCCACCATAGCAATCATGCTCTTGCAAGTGTTCAAACCAAAGCCATGAGGGGTCCCTGTGAACGGTAAAAAGAGAAATGGAAAAACTTGACTGGTTGTAAAACTGCAGTACAACATCAACTCTTCTACTCCAGTAAAAGTAAATACTTGCATATACAACTTTTAACAATGTGAACATGTAAACCAATGCATTGTAAAAATCTAGTGGATTAGAAAGATATTTGCTGATATATGCAGAGTAAAAGTGAAAAGTATCTAATAGTAAATCTGCTTAAGTACAAATACATGAAAATGTGCAGAGATATAGTAATGAAATAAACTTTGATTTTCTTTTTGAAATGTTTTGACAGCATGTATGATGTAAATCATCTCACCATGAGGGACGTTTTCGTTGAGGAGCCTCTGGAGCTGTGTGGCCATCAGCTCACCGCTCTGACAACACACACACATGATGACTGGAGAGAAAAAGACTTGATACCTGATCGACATAGCGGTTGAACAAGTCACGGGTGGAACCCATGTCAGCGTCCTCGTCAGTGCAATTTCCAGAGTTCTTAAAGAGACCGACATTTAATTGGGTGAGTGTCTAACATTGATGAGCTTATGGGCCAGACATCAAACTGGCTAAACACCATTGGTCCCACTGACATACAGCGGCAGTGTTAAATTTCGTACCTTGGGATGAATGGGTTTGTCGTGCTCATGGTCGTCATGCTCATCATGTCCATTGTGGGGACTGGAAGCAGAGAAGAATGTGTTGAAAATAAGGTTTCCATTGCAACTTCAGGAAATGTTACATATCATAGTGTGTTTTACCTGATCTGAACCTTGGTGTAGACAGTGAGAACAAAGTCTGCGTTCATGTAGGGTATGTTGGTCGAGGGGATGATCACGTACTCTCCAGGCTCCAGGCTGAGGAACTCAATCACTTCCCTTTCATTGGTGTACAGGCTTTCCTTCTCGGGGGGATTTGCGTAAAAGAAGGGCGTTTCCAGACGTCCTTTTGGGGTCTGGAAGTTAATTAACCTTATTTAATGTAATGAAGATGTTGAGTACTGAATTGTATGTTCAGGTAACTCATGTGTGGATTTTTGTGTTTGCAAAATTGGAGAATTAGAATTGTTTTTCTATGAACTTACCCCAGGTGGAATCTGTCGGATGTGAAATGAGAAGAAGTGTCATTATTCAAATCATTAAAAATGTTTTTTGTTAGTCTGGTGTTTGGTTTCTGTCAAACATGAACCATTTTCATTTCTGCTAAACTGCTTTTTGTAGGATTTGATATTTGATGGATAAAATTTCAGAATGCAGACCTTAAAGATGGTCAGTCCAGCTGAGTAGAAGCGTTCCTGTAGGCGGTTCATCGCCTGAGGTATCTGCATCAAACAGATCAAGATGTTTTTGTCTCCTGGCTCATTCTCGTCTATAATAGACACCTGGATGCGATACTGAGGATTTTCCTCGAAGGTACCTGCAGGTAATGAGAAGTTTTATCAGTGCAGATGACACTTTTATTTGATTGGCACACAAAAGAAAGAAGACACAACATCTTGACCTTGTGATCATGGTTCAAGACATGCAAGACTTAAAAGAACGAATAGAGCTCACTGTCAGTGATGCTGCCGCCTGCAGACTTCCCTGCCACCCAGCTGCCATCGTAAGTCATGCACTTCCACTGGCAGGTGAGGTCGCCGTCGATGAAGTTGGGGTTCTCACAGCACATGGACACACTGAGAAAATTGTGACAGAAGTCCTCCAACTCCATCCTGATGGACAACACAGAGGACGACAAGAGAAACACAGAAGGAGAGAAATGTAGAGTTTCAACCAGTGGAACAGACTCAGGTAAATACATTCAACTACTGTTTGGATTTTAATTTGACCGAATGTTCAGATTTCATCCATAAAAGAATAAAGTACTGTCATTCGTTATCAGGCCTCACTATTCATATGTACCCTTCTAATCAGTTTACAACTTTTAATTTGAGAAAGCCAACTCCATATGAACGCCTATGGATTCACAATGGGATGACATAAAAGCTCCTTTAGGTGTCCCAATACCTTTGTCCATATAATGTATAATTAAAAATAATTTGTTAGACTACAAAGATAAACTCGATGTATTTTGGTGCGACACACAAACTTGATTTCAGCTCATTTACCAGAACTCTCCATCGTTGCAATAAGAACGCTTTACACGATCTTCCATATTCAGTCTGTCCCACATATCTGACCTGAGAACAAGGGGAAAATAAATTATTTTCATAGACACGTTGAAACTGAACAGATGAATTCTTGGAAAAATAAATAACAAATAAACAAAAGATGTTCTCAGTTGTAGTGCTCAGCGAGTTCGTCTTTGTACGACTTTAATAGTATGGGAGGGTGTATGATTGATTCAAGTACCTGTCACTCCACTTTCCGATCCACTCCTGTTCACCCCAAGGGTTCATGAGGCGCACCAGCTTCACTTTGGAGCCGAAATAGTCGACCTTCAGATTAAATTATAGATATGGTGATAGATATTCAGTCAGTGCCAATTTAACACTCACAGAATCTGTAACCCTTCTCAGTTGTAATAGATGAACACATGTTCTCCTGCAGCTCCACAATTTACCTCAGTGACACCTGTGACAGAATAGGCGTGTCCAACCACGAGTCCATTTTCTGCTACAGTGTTCACCATATCCTAGAATAAACAAAAGCGTTAAATCACAACAATGAGGGATTTTTTATTTTCTATTTTCTCCTATGAATTCTGTTCTTACCAATCTTGGAGTCCCGCAGCAAATCATTGACCTGCACCCAGTGGCTCTGCTCAGCGAGAGCCAAAGTTCTTCATCGTGGCCTTCATGGTGGAAATCCCCGAGTTTGTAGGTCTTGCTTACACCTCCGCTGAAATCCTTGAAAGCTTCTGACGGCAAGCCGAAGTTCATGTCATCGTATGAACCGCACACTCTGAAGCAGAAAAAAAACTGATGTTTGTAATCTGGAGTTTTTAAGTCTTGATTCTGGTGTTTGTGTCTCAACCGTGACCTAACAAACAGTTTAATATCCAAGTGAGTGCGTTGGTTACGTACTTGGCATATGCTTTCTCCAGCAGAGGAACCCAGAAAACATTTCCTCCTTTGCAGTGCACCGAGAGCAAAAAGTTGTTCATTGTTGGCAGAAGGTCATCGATGACCACATCCACCCACTTGCCAAACCTCCAGAACTGACACAGAGGACAAGTCAGAGGTGAAATTGTGTAAAGACACTGTTTAAAAACAATTCTGATACTTTAGGTCTCTACCCTGAAGTGAAATATTCCTGCGTGGCCCTCGAAGGACTGGTCTACTGGCACCACTTGTGCTAGCAGGCGCTGATTGAAGGTCAGTGAAGAAATTGCAGACAGAAACCAGCAGTTACCTGGTGAATAAAGGAAGCAAATTTTTCCACAGTTCACGTTGTCACCTACACAAGCTACTAATTGTGAAAAGCAAAAATTCTTGCTCACTGACGTAGCCTTGACCAAAGTCAAAGCGTGAGGCTTCCTGCGTGAAGAAAGTCGGCTCATTGCTGTTGTTTTGTCTTTTCAAGAGCTCCTGGACAATACAACAAATACAGACAGGAAATGCATTGAAGTACAAATAAACATGATCTATTGACATCATTTACATAAAAGAGAAAAGATAAGTCAAAGTTTTTTTTACAGCTGGTCGGAGCCACTCCACTTTGTTGTGCTGCTCGTTGCCAGAATTAGGCAGGCACCCCAGAGAGCGGTTGTTAGGTGGGAAGGTGTTGTCCACAAACGGCTTCCCACTGCAGAGGTAATGATCCTTCAGCTGTGCATAGTCTTGTTGGTTGAACTTCACAGGGTTGGAGGGGCTGCCCTCGCTGCCGTCTTGGTAACGCAGGTTGATGATAGAGGTGCACGTTCCAGATTCAGACATGTTTGACGAGAGGTTTCACACAAACTGACAGACGACAGACTGTCTCTCTCTTATGTACTCACTGCATCTTAGACAAGCCTGGAATGAGACCTCCCCCCCAAGCCTGCTGGACAAGCCTGTAATTTATTTCTCCTCAAAGACACATGTTGACACACTTCTAACCAACGAGAGACGACTGTTGAAACGGTGTCATTCTCACAATTCTACATGAATGAACTGATTTCTTTGTACTTCTTAACACTATCTTAACAATTCCCCTGACCGTTACATGTTGACATACTTGTCAATGAAATGTCTTGAATGAACTTGATTTTCAAGTCTCATGATTATTCAAAGAAGTAAAATAGTTTTGTCTTTGAATGTTAAAGATCTGTGGACAAACACAAACAAAAACTTCCTTGATAGATTCATTTCATTTTCATGAAACTTGGTGGAAGGATGTGGTTTGGATCAGGAAAGGATCCGTTACATTAAGGCTGTTTCAGGAATTTCTTAAACATTGCGAGAAATAGTGTATTTCAACATTTTCACCAGTTTCTCTGAGAATCATTTATGGATCTTGATTTTTAAAAATAGATTTCATAGATTATTAGTGTTTCTAAATAAAAGTCGGGATCTAGTGAATTGAAATGTGGTTTCCTAAGGGGCCGTAAGCCTCTGTGGAGTTATGCACTTTACTGAGTGGCATTCTAGTTTTAATTACCTACAGTGTTGTTCTATCCATCACAGCTCTTCATGATTATTTGCATATAGAGCAGTGATGTTTGACAGGTATGAACCACCTGAGGCCGTCGTGTTGTGACAGCTTCTTATGGACATAGTTTTTTTTCAAAGTGATGCTTTACAGACCCTGAAATTAGAAGTAAAACGTCTGACAGTGAGTTGCACACATAGCGAAGTGAAGTGGTGTGACAGGACCTCCCTAAATACTTTGCAAAATAGCCGCTTGGTTAAATTGCCATGTTCACCAGTGGTTGTGCAACCAGTGAGATGATACTGGCCAACATGAAAAGAACATGCTACACATTTGTATTAGAGTTAACATCATCCTTAGCTCACACAAAAACAAACCTTTAGAATTCATTTAAGTTTTTCTTCCTACTTTGATGCCAAATCTCACATATTAACTCACATCTAAAGGCTCAATGTTATTGTTCTTTATGTTTCCCTACTCAGAACAGTGTTGACATGGAGGTTTAATGGATTTCACTGCTGCGTGCTGAGTGTACCCCTGACACGAAAGCCGAAGTGTAACTCACATAAATGAATTAAAGGAATTTGAAAAAAAAAATTCAGCATTTTGGAAAACTTTTCCTGTTGAGACACCATCTTTCATATTTGAGCATTGTCAGTTTAAAGCTGTTCTGTGAACAACATGTTATTTAAATCGGCCACTAAACATTTCCAACACCCCTACCTGCAGATCAAATTGCTCTCTAAAATGAAGTGACACAACATAACAAGTACTGAGAGAGCCACATGGTATGTATATGTATTTGCCTATAAATCATTAACACAATTTCAAATATGTTCTTTCATTCTCTCATACAGTTCTTTTTTACAAATTTACACCAGTGTTGAGGTGTTTGTGTTTCTAGGGCATCCGGCACCTCAGAAGCAAATTGTGGCAGGGGCATGTTTCATTATCCCCCACTGTCACTTTAAAGAGCAAACACGAATGCCCTGAATACTTGTAAAATCTTTTCCAGCAGAACTTGCACCAGTGCTTTGTAGGAGTAATGACTGTGTACTCTGATGTTTACAACATTGTCAACTTACAAAAGAGCAATCTGTTGACTGACTTGATGCCAAAACTCACATTTCCACCATGTATTTTTATACACAGTTTTAGAATCCAACTTCCAAACATGATTCTACTGTGTAACTCTTTCAAAAATTTAGTGGAAAAGAAATGCATTCATACAATGTAGAAAAACACTTCAAAAAGTCAGGCAGCAAAAGTTTCCACCTGACATCAAATTACCATAAAAACAACTTTAGCCTTAGTTTTAATATTGCAATTACGAATACAAGAATTTAGCAATAGGATGTGCATTTTTTATATTTTTACATCAGTTTAATTATCCTGTAAAAAATGTTTAATTTATAATTTTTAGTAATTTGCTGTATTTTGTGACATTTACATTCAATTTAGAAGTTAAAGTTGAATGTTTTCCCATCAGATGCTTCAGATGATTGAGAAGTTTGGGAGAGAAAAAGCAAATAGTTAATCCCTTTTTCTCCCACAAAAATCACAGATCTTTAACATTCAGAGATAAAACTATTTTACTTCTTTGAATGATCATGAGACTTGAAAATCAGGTTCATTCAAGACATTTCAGTGTCAAGTATGTCAACATGTAATGGTCAGGGGAATTGTTAAGATAGTGTTAAAGAGATCAGTTCATTCATGTAGAATTGTGAGAATGACACCGTTTCAACAGTCGTCTCTTGTTGGTCAAGTGTGTCAACATGTTCACTGTCAGTACGGATGTTTCACCACATGGTTCAGAGCTAACAGGTTTCTAAACAAAGACATGTTACATTTACATCTTGTTCCTCTCAGTTAAAACACATCTAGTTTATATGAGTCAGTCATTAGTGAAGATCACACTGAATTTATTTGACAGGTGTTTATGTTGTATTGAAGAAACTTTATGCAAGTTGTTTGTTGACAGGTTGAAGTCAACAGATGTCAGGAACCAGTTGTCAAACCAACATGACTTATGGTCCATGCTGACATTACTGTGAGCAGGAGGCTGAGCCCATGTTTACATTAGTGGGAGGTACAGATATTTTACTTCAAACCAAACCTGATGTACAAGTTTTTAACAACTTGTTTTTCTTAAATAACCTGATTAGGTGTCGACACTCAGACACCCACACAGGTTTATGACTCTGTAACGAGCACTACAGCTATATAATTACATTTTGTTAGAACTGAGAATTTCATTCAACTGCCTGATGACTGGCGGCTGTAGTAAGTAGTAACAAGTGTTAGTAAACTGCATTTGTATGAACGTGAGTAGGTTTAACAACTCAATCTTTACAAGACTGATTGAATCAAGTGCAACATAGTGAATAAAGAAGATATTTCAGACCATTTTGTTAACACTGTATTTAATACAGAGCACTTTTTATTACAGTGTAATGCTTTTGAATAAACACAATGATGTTCATCTTCAGACAATTTTCCCCACAATTCCTCGTGATCTGCAGAAGAAATTAGAGAAATTAATAAAAGGTATTCTAGGTGTAATAAACAACTCATCCGCGGTCACATTCTGTGTTCAGAAAACCGAGGGTCACCACTGAACAGTCTGCCGGTAATTCCAGCTATTTCAGTTTAGGGTTCATCACAACAATGGATGCCAGCCTTTCGTGTTATAAAGCATAAAAAACGTGGTACCTGTCAAATTCACTGCTTGGCAGACGTCAGATCAGACCAGTGGGATGACAACTGAAATAAAAACACAAAATTCAGAGCAAACCCTTTCAAACACAATGTGTTCAAACAAACAGCTTTTAAGACTCAGAAAATTGGATTCAAAATCGTCAGTTCTCGCATCTGACGGCACTTCCTATTCCAGGATTTCATCACAGAGAGCAACTGAGGGCAAATTAGCCTTTAGTTAACTCACTATTGTACAGAAGTCAAGGCCCTTTTATTTATAATCATTTTACTCATTTACCAGTTACTGATTAATCAACTCTTTAACTACAGCACATTGAGCTGAGGATATTTGGCCCCAGGTCAAGTGGAGTTTGATGTAAGTAGAAGTTGACAGATTTTGAGGTTGTAGTCATGTCAGCTGTAAATCAGCCGTTGTCACCCGTCTTTAAGATAGCAGAAAAACTTAATGTGGATTCCAGATGTTCAAACATTTTCACTGTACAACTGTGAGCTTATAAGGCTTCTCTGCAAACATTTTAAATAAGAATATAAATAACTTACAAGATCCCCAGGCAGTGATGATGCAGCCGCACACCTTTAGATGATTCTCTTTCAGGACATGAACTGAACCTGGAATAAATATTAAAATGGTGAAGAACTAGCACATGAAGTCCAGTTGAGACAAGGTGCTACTGTAGCATTTAGTGTTCAGAAAACCAATGATCACCACTGAACAATCTGACGGTAATTCCAGCTATTTCAGTTTAGATTTCATCACGACAGAAGATGCTAGTTGCCTTTAGTTTAAATCAAAGACAAATCAAACTCACCTGCAGGAACTTGCATTGGCTGCTGTAGCTGGGAGCTCAGGTCCACTGCTGCAGGGGAACTGGGCAAGAGAAGGAGAAACACAGGAGGAAATGAGCAGCAGAGAAAGGAGACTGCAAAGATGAAATTCAAAGAGTTTATTCTGTCTCAGAACAGTGATTGAGAAACACAAGTCAAGGCACTTGTAATTTTAGTATTAACTTATTTACCAGTAACTGATTAATCAACTCTATTTATCAGTAGCAAGTTGAGCTGAGGATATTTAGCCCCGGGTCAAGTGACACATTTTGAGGTTGAAGAAATTTCAGCTGTAAATCAGTCGTGGTGTCACTCGTCTTGAAGATGCAGAAAATCTTAATGTGTGACGATTCCAGATGTTCAAACATTTTCACTATACAACCGTGAGCTGATAAGGCTTCTTAGCATACATTTAATATAAAAAATAACTTACAAGATCCCATGAAGGTGATGATGCAGCCACACACCTTCAGATGAATCTCTTTCCAGGGACTCATTCAGGACCAACTAAACCTGGAATAAACAAAAAAAAATTATAAATGGTGAAGAACTAGCACATAAAGTTCAGTTGAGACAAGGGGCTGTTGTAGCATTTTGTGTTCAGAAAACCAATGATCACCACTGAACAATCTGACGGTAATTCCAGCTATTTCAGTTTAGATTTCATCACAACAGAAGATGCTAGTTGGCTTTAGTTTAAAGAAAAAAAAAAAATCAAACCCCTCAGGAACTGGTCAAGAGGAGAAACAAAAGGAAATGAGCAGCAGAGACGGGCGACTGCACCACAAAGATGCTTCAACTTACCCACTGCTAACAGCAGCGTCCTGGCTCCATGTCTGAAGAAAGCTCAGGTTTTTAAGCTTCAGAGTCTCCATGATGTTGAACAGGCACATCCTGACCTGTAGAGAAGATATTTAAACAGTTAGGTCCCACTGACAGTTTAAAATCAACAATTCAAATCGTTTTTTAAATCTGTCTCAGAACAGTGATTGAGAAACATCGTCAGTTGTCGCATCAGACGGCACTTCCTATTCACAGTTTTCATCACAGACATGAGCCAACATGTGGACGTCCCTTTCATTACTCACCTGGACATGTCGTGGCAACTTCATCATGAGGGTTCAGCTCTTGCAGGGAGCTGCCACACTGACTTCCACCTGAGGAAATACAAATGTTAGACTTAATATGGAATATTAAACATCATGACTGCCAGGAAATAATAACACGTCTGGAAACTGCCTGTTTCAGATTATATAAACATTACATGTTACAGCAATTGTTTCACTTCCCTACAATATATAATATAATTATTCATATGCAATGCATTTATTATTTATTTAATATTTTATATCTGCACTGTTTTACTCTAGCACCTTTTCTAAATATATTTATCTGCTATAACATCATTTTACAGGCTGTTAGTTTAATGCACAACTTTCTGCACCTTCAGTTATTTCTTTAAATCATCGTATTTGGTTTCAATTCCTCTGCTTCGTGTCTTTCCTTCACTTTATACTTTGAACAGAACGTGACTCTTGAATCTGTTTCGTAAAACAACAGAAGACAAAGACATAAGAATGAAACTCACATCTTCTCCATCGTGTCGTCCTCTCCACGTGGCTGCCTGAGGCCTGGCCGGAAATAAACTGAGCTCACGTTCTTACCGAAAATAAAAAAGCTCCTCTTAAACTCTCGTGTTCTTCGTAGAGACACTAAAGTAAACTTGGATTTACTGGACTTTTTACAAAAGTTTAGATTAAACGACGGAGCTGAGTTACCGCTGAGGAGGAGCAGGAGGAGTGAAAGAGAGCGAACTATGTGGAGGCGAGGTTTTATACCATCGCACCGTCGCGGAAAACATACGTCACATATCCATGGAAAAGCTGCTGACGCCATCTGCTGCACCGGAGTGTGAACAGCATGGCTTCATGTCATATATATATATATATTTATATATATATATTTTATTAATATATTTTTTATAAATATTTTTGCTCACCATTGTTTTTGTTCTAACTTAAATTTTTTACTTTTTCTCTATTTTGATTTGGATGTTTATTCAATTATACAACATATACACCGCTCACAATATGAGTTCATTTTGTAAATATTTTAATTATTTTATTTATTGTATGAATATTATAGGTTATTTTAAGTTTTTGCATTTACCATTATTTTGCATTTTAACTTTAATTTTAATTTTATTTTGGATTGTTATACCATTTCCTAACACATACAACACTTTCAATACACACAGTCAGTACAACACAAAAACACACTAGAAACATTCAAACTCATATTATATTATTTTCCTTTTTTTATTTAAAATGTATGAGCACAATGGTTCAAATAAAAGAGTTAGTCTCTTAGACTAATTTTAATCTGCAGTCCTATATAATATTATATCCTCTAACATTGTATTGTATTATTAAAATGTATAGTCTTGCATAGGAAGCTTCACTCATCAGTAAATTGTGTGAACATATTCTGTGGTCCCATGGTGGCGCTGTTTACCTGGCTTCTCTCTCTCTCCTCACTAATTACATGGTGAGTGTCATTAAGTGTCTCAGTCCGGAGGGAAGAGCTCTGGATTTGTTTGGTTGGATTTCACATCTGCAGACACACAACACAATTTTTTTCCTTCAGCATTTTACCATCCTGCACTTTCAGGTAAAGTTACTGAACCTACTCAAATACTTGTGTATTTACAGGCCACAGATTTTTAGAGAAAGAAAAAAAAGTTTGAGTTGTAGCATTGCCACAAAGTGAGATTAAAAAGTACAACAGTAAAAGTAGTGTATGAGTGTCCAGCTAAGATTTAAGATTTATTATGATCACTAGTCCTCCTCAAGTTATCAACTTGGTGAGTCAGTGGTTTGAGTCTGTTCCTCTTCACTGTGTGTTTGGGGTCTTTGTCATGCTGCAGAATATATTTGGGATGGATCAGATGGATCAGACGTCCCCATGTCGACACTGTGTGATGGATAAGAATTTATTGTAACTATCGAATAATCATTTATCTAAGAATCTATCTTAGTCATTTCATGTGACATGTTGAAATCCACTGAATAATCGACACTTTCCTTAAATCTTTATCATTTGTTCGAATAAAAAACCCTCTGATTGAATGTTCTTACAGAAATGAGTCTCTTAATGTTTTAATTTATATTTCAGGAAAACTTCACTGTGGCAGCGGTGAGAGAAAAGAAAAGAGAAGTGTGTGTTTGTGAATGAAAAGTGTGTCTGCTCTCAGGAAGAGTGGCAGCTTGAAGACCTGCGTGTGTGTGTCTGTGTGTGTCTGTGTGTATGCGTGTGTGCATGTATGTTGATCCACTACAGCAGCATGTTGCCACCTGTAAAGAAGGACCGAATTATTACTCACCTCCCAAAAGTTAGTAACACACACACACACACACGCTCACATATGCTCACACACACACACAAACATACAAACACACACATACGCGCACACACAGTAATGAATTACACCTAACCATGTTACTGAATTGAAGATACTTTATAGATCGTTTTGTTAATTTTCTCGACTATTGAAGAGGTTGTTTAAAGTGTTGAACGCTGCTCTGCTCTTTGCTGTCGTCCTGAACTGATTTCCTCATTTAAGATAATATGTAGATGTTTACAAGTTCAATACAAATGAAAGTGAGGCCTGTTTTATTGGCAAAGGTAACGCTGTTCATTTAAAGACATGAATGGTCACTGGACAGCAACAGTAATGCAGAAACAATGAGGAAGGTATTTATCATTTGATTATTATTTTACTCATTGTGTGTTTTTCCATTTCGTGTGAATTCACACTTTGTTTCCAGTGTTTTAGTCAAAATGCTGCGCTGCACACCAAAGATGGCTTCCACCCGCAGGTCAAGGCTGTTTGTCAGGTACAGAAGTCAGGCACGGTGAGGTAAGACCACAGAACACACACCCTGCTCCTCCTGCTGCTAAAAACATCAGCTGGTTCTTTCGTCACAGTTTCTCTTCTCTGTCTTTGGCACAGAAATTAATATATATTTATTATTGCTTGACAATAATTTCGTATTCATTCAGAAAGAAAACTTTTCCTTTATTTTATTCCTTTACTTATAATATTGGAGTCATTTCGTTTACAATTCCCCTGACGAATGTGAAAAGTTGAATGAGGCCACTTCAGCAGTGAATTAGTGGTGAACTGGTTTGTGTCAACTCCTGACAGCAGTTTGCAGTGACGTCCGTGTGTTACTGATCCTGTTGTTGTTTATTTCATGCTGTCAGGTTGTTGTTGTTGTTGTGTGGAGTCATGAAGGACAGCTGACGGTTGTGGTTTTCTCTCCCCAGCTTCAGTATCGCCAAGGTCATCGTGGTGGGAGATGTCTCAGTTGGAAAAACGTGTCTGATCAGCAGGTAAGAAGCCGTCAGCGACAAACAGATCAATCAGATCAATTGATTTCACTCTGATTTGAACCGTGACTCTGTCATGTGCTGAATTTACAGTATTTTACAGTTCGAGTTCAGTCACAACTGGAAACACATCGTGAGAGAAAACCCGCACAAAGCTGAGACACGTGTTCTTTGGTAAAAATAGAAATCATGGTTGACAAACATGAACCAATACGTCTGTGAGGCTCATATCAGACGATTTATATTAGAAAACCGAGAAACCAGTCGGGCTCAGCTGCTTGAGTCTTTGACTGTTAATTAAAAGATCAAATTTATAGGTTTTGATTTGGGAAAAACAAAAACTGAGATAAAAGATGAAAATATTTCTCTCTGCCTCTGTTCCCTTGTTCTTTCAACTGTTCCCTTGTTCCCTCCACTCTCCCCTTGTTTCTTCATCTGTTCCCTCCATTGTTCCCTTGTTCCCTCCACTATCCCCTTGTTCCGTCCACTGTTCCCTTGTTTCTTCACCTGTTCCCTTGTTCCTGTCAGTTTCTGTAAGGGCAACTTTGATAAGAACTACAAAGCGACCATCGGAGTGGATTTTGAGATGGAGCGCTTCGAGGTGCTCGGCGTCCCCTTCAGTTTACAGCTGTAAGTACGTCACTGACAAACACTTCACATTCACACGAACCCACTTCCTGTGTCGACTCATCACAGAGGTCATCGAGGTCAGTTTAACGCTACCTGTCCAACATGCGATCACGTAACACGATGGAGTTAAAGTATAATGTCTGAACATCTGAAGAATCTGTAAATGAAATCACATGCTGAGATAATTATGACACTGTACAACATCCTCTGGATAATCTGATGAGCTCCTTGTTTAGACTGCCAGTGGACCTTTAATTACATGTTTTTCCTTCACTAAATTACATTAATACAACACGTGTCGTGGAGAGACCGAGCGCACGGGACACAGAAAACTGGAAACACATTGTCAGTGAACTTGTAGCTATAACATGGCCACACTCTCTCAACTGTTTGTCTTCTTATAGTTCTCGTTCTTCCTCTTCTTCCTCTTCGTCACTGTGGTGATGAAACAGATCAGCAGCCACGGAGCCTGTGAAGATGTTCATAGATCACCTGACTCTCATTGAAACTTTATTTTAACTCGGGAGTACATTGAGGCAGAGACCTCGTTTACAGCCGAGTACAGAAAGTAAAACATTCCAAGAAAACACAAATAAGAAACAGTAAAATCTGCCAAAGAGCAAAGAAGTGAAGAGAAGCATCAGGATTAATTATAATACATAACATTTTATTTAAAACAAATTAATCAACACAGACTTTTCTGGCAGCTACAGTTTTATTTTGTATATATTTTTTAAGCATAGTTTATAAATTGTCTGATCTATCTATCTATCTATCTATCTATCTATCTATCTATCTATCTATCTATCTATCTATCTATTCATTGATCTGTTTCAGGTGGGACACAGCGGGTCAGGAACGCTTCAAGTGCATCGCCTCCACCTATTACAGAGGAGCACAAGGTGAATCCAGCTGCTGTGTTACTGCATCTCTCCCTTTCAGTTCATAGATCATGTTGTTGTTAACACAGTTAATGTTTTTTGTCTCTATACTTTTCCTCAGCCATTATCGTGGTGTTTGACCTCAGCAGTGTGAGCTCATTAGCTCATGCCAGGTAAGAGAAAGCCCATTACTGTCTAATGATGATGTCATTAAAATGCCATTACAACACTTATAGCTCTGTGTGTGTGTGTGTAGGCAGTGGCTTGAGGACGCCATGAAAGACAACGACCCGTCCAGTGTTTTACTTTTCCTCGTCGGTACCAAGAAGGACCTCAGTGTGAGTTAAACAAATTATTTCTTTAAAATGGAAACAGAGGTGAAACCAAATAATTGAAGATGTGAAGATCTCCAGGTGTAAATATAACATATTTAAATACAAAGGTCTCATTCTTCACCTCTTCACCTCTCTGTTCCCCGCGTCTCACTCCTCAGTCTCCTGATCAGTTGGCTCAAATCGAGCAGGAAGCCATCAGACTCTCGGAGGAAATCAAGGCAGAGTACTGGGCCGTGTCTTCAAAGTCAGGTGGGAATCAAACACAACGCAGCCGCCCTGTATGGCTTTTAACGTCTTTTCAGGGCTCACCCTCTCAAACTCTCTCCTCCATCTTGTCGCTGCAGGAGATGGCATCAGGGATTTCTTCTTCCGCGTGGCCTCTCTGACCTTCGAGGCCAACGTTTTGTCTGAACTGGAGAAATTGGGGTCGAGGAACGTGGGTGACATCATCAGTGAGTCAGTTCGCGCCATAATGTCAGACAACAGCCTCTTACACTCAACTGTGATTCATTTGTGAGAATGATGCCAAGGCCCATGTTTGGCCCACGTTTGAATTCCCCTG